TCTATATTTATTTAAGTTATTTTATATGTCTTGGTCTTAAAATACTTCAAAAGCTTTAACTTGAGATATTGATAGTTTTCATCAGTTAAGTTCAAGATACTGTATCGCTCAATCATAAAGTATAAACTTGTATTATATCTTGGATATGGAATTTAGTTTTAAATATATTTACTTAATTCTAACTACGTTATTCTATTTGTTTTGACCTAAGAACCTTCATTGAAATACCACTCCCATTTCATTAAAGCACACAGCTAAATCACGACCAACACAAATTGTTCAAAAAATTGAGTTCTTTATCATCGATTTATATCCAAACGATCTTGCTTGCAACCTCAACAGTACTTTCATAATTATTTGCAAATACAGTATTCACAAATTATGCTATCCAATGACCTATTAATTAATAAAATCGGTTCAGTAGAACTGTAGATTTAATTGTACAAAGCTTATAAACAACATCTTTAATTCAGTATTTTCTCACTACTATACATTTGGAGGTTGCTTAACGTTTTTGCAAATAACTTTGAAATGGCGAGGAAATCGACCAAAGTGGAGCGTGATATTCTGAAAGAGAATAAAATTTCCTACAAATTACCATTATGTATTGCTTGAAATTACAAGAAATACATACTGTTTCATTAAAAATTAGTGTAAAATTATACATATTGTAATATTTGATAGATATATTGGCATTAATTTGGCTAGTTACTGTTATAACGTAAGTTATATTTACCTGAAAATATGCAGAATTGTAAGGCCCTAATGTTGTTCAGATGGGTTTTTGTTTCCCTTGAATGTGAATAATGCGAATCCTTCAATGCAAGTTTTGTTAAGGTTTCTTGGATGTAGTCATGTTATTTTAATATCACTTGACTTTTATGAAAACATATATAATGTCCTTGCCGTACCGGTTTAATTCGGCATTAGAGGGGTTTCCTTTGCAAATCATCCTAAAGTTAATGGTTAAGTCCGTTTTTCCTACAAAATAGTAGCACTTTCGATAACATCCTTGTTCATTGTTTGTGGGAATCTTCATATTGTAGGTGTTCTTCTTTTATATAGGATGATAACGATAATATTTTTAAAAAATCTCGATTTCTACTACTTGGTGGCGTTCTATGACTTTCCTATGTTTCCTTGGACAACAATTACGACCTTTAAGGGCAGTTTATGAAATAATGGATAGTTTTGCGCTAGTTTTCTCGTAATGACGAACATTTTAAGTATATGGTTTATGGGGGTATGACTTGTAGTTTTCACAAAAGTTCATGTGTACTTTGGGCTTTATATTGATCAACTAGTGGCTTGTAGGGACATAAGTCAACAATAAGTAAATATAAGTAAACAAACTAAGAATAAAATTATCTATGTGTCAGAATCGATACAGTGCTACAATAATACATGTACTCATATTAGTACCCTGGCCCAGTTATTATTTCTAATATTATAGCTCTACTCCTTTTGTAAAGACACAACTGAATTAGTGTAAAGGCTGCCCTAGTTTCGTTTCTGATCAACATAAAATATAAACTACTCTCTGTGTCAGCTTATGTGGTGGGATTCCTCCTAAAGCTGTGGTTGACTTTATACTCTCTTTAAAATTGGCCAATTTAAACGTTCAGTGGGTTCATAGTTTGTTAAGACCATAGTAAAGTATTTATTTGCTAATCCGTTATAATTTTTAAGTTAATAACATAGCGCTGTCTGCTGTTATGACGCAATGTACAGATAGCCGACAGCTAAGCTATATCAGCTATAGTCATGTTAATAGTATATTATTTTTCATTCAATGGATGTAAATTTTGTTTGAAAACATTTTACCGTTTATATTATTTATTTAGCCTACAGTTAAAAAAGCTAATCATCGACTGATTACTAACTCTTTTCTTTTGCCATTGGTTAGGGTTCCATTATCATGTTAATGAAACCAATCAAGAAAACAAATTCATCAGCAATTAATATAGGTACATATTTTTGGTTAGTGAAACATGAAGAATCGAAAACTACCTCCAGGGTTTACTGTTATAGATTCTCTCTTCACTATCTATATAGATTGTATATATATATATACAATGCATGTTGGGCTATATTATTTTAACCTTTTTTCCTTGGAGCAACAGACAGTAGATACCTGATTAAAATCTATTCCAAACAATTTTATTTTTCCGCCCATTGGAATTTGTTATAGTAATTAATGAAAGGAATATATGTATTGCCTGTACAAACCTATTTCAAATTTTATTCCCAGGTTATTCTCTAGAGTAACTGTTAAGGTTATTCCACTCGATACAAAGTATAGATTAAACACTACAATTACGTGTCAAATTAAATGTTATGAAATTTAAAACAAAAGTTTTGAATAAATTTTCAATATATGTTTTGAAATAAAAACAAAACAGAAGTTTTCTAACTATTCTTGCATCGTTGATTATTTAGTCAATGGGGCTATTTCATGTTAAACATTCCTTCAGCACAACAATAACCTACTAATGTGAAGAAATGTAATCAAAGTAAAATAACTTTGTAAACTTCGTGAACATATGTTTTAAAAAAAACCAAAGCTTAAATATTTCAGCCATTCTACTTCCATTTACTATGATTTTAACCATCTCCCACGATTCTACTAAATTTCATGCACTTGGCTAATTTACATACAAATACACAAATTTGCAAATTGCACAGTAAAATTAATTTCAACATTCTAAGACATAACGACAAAAGTCTCAATTGTATGTAACGTCATCCCTGGTTTTATATAGTATACAGTACATTGCAGAATTTACTGGCAAACTAGTTAAATCCAAATGTAATATTGCTTACTGGCTTAATGATAAATCACGATCAGCTGTATTGAGGTAAACAAAAATCAACAGACAAATGGCTTCTAATGCTATTCTTATGGAGAACATTTTACGTTATATCATTGACTAAGTCAAAGGTTATGTCTAATTTTGTGTTAAAATTTGGGGAATTTCACTATTTTTCCGGGATCGAGACCTTTAATTTGAACCCTCTCCCGTCGTTCTACGACTACCCAGTCGCCCACAATTTTGACGCAAAGAATCGGCTTTCGTAATTAATATATAGATAGATATTTAATTTCCACAAAATCAGTTAATGTAACCAATGCGTTTCGTTGAATTGAAAAACAAAGAACACAATTAAATTAAACAGCTGATGTAAACAATATTATGTTCTTCGTAAGGATAACATGGGAACTTAATAAAAAGCCACTGTGGCAGAGGCCAAGGGACTTTTTCAAAAATTTTAGGCCAGTTTGCAAATCTACGCAACACGCTCTTTCCAATGAGACGTCAGTGGATAAAATCGGTTTAGAAATGGTGGAGGATTCAACCAAACTTCGTGTTCGCGTATTAATTATATAGATTTCATATGTGCATGAAATGTTGGTGTGAAACCAACTTGTATAACTTTAAGCTAAATGGTTTAAGTTACCTGGCTTAGTCAAGTGATCCTTCTTCAGTAATACTACTATAGTTTCGGACTTGAAAATAAGTCCATCTTCAGAAAACGTCAATAGGTCATCTAACCAAATTGGTTAGATGACCTATTGACGTTTTTGTTAACCTGAAGATGGACTTCCAGAGGCTACTTCACCATGTATACCTTTGAAGTAGAGGCTATATTTATTCCCAAAAGGTATCAAACGCCAGCTCCTGATCAAATCTTTTCTATCCCTTTAAAGTTTGTTTCGTGTTTTTAGTCTTCACGTACAGAGACTTAAATCTTTGTATTAAATTGTTAGCAATCATAAATCGTAGACAGAATCTTCCACAAAAGATAAATACAATATAGTTTAACACCCTAGAACTCCTTAAAAAAATATATTTTGTTAAGGCTTCGTCATAATGTTAAAAATACTCAATACCACAACAAATAAATTAATTTTACATATGTAAACGTTGATAGTTGTATGCGTATTGTATTTTAATATATCTTCTGTATACATCTAGTCCTCTATATTTTCTGTGAACACAAATGCTTCTGTATACACTTTTTTGCAACTCACAGTAACTGAGAAATATTCTAAACTGGTGAACTGTTTTTATAAATTTTTGCCGTTATTTCTCAACCCGTGCTTAAAAAATTAGTGACTCGTGGATGAATCCAGATACAAAATTTAATCTAAATCGGACCACAGGTTTTGTCTGTAGCTCTGTATCTGGATCATACAAGTGTGTATTATATAACATGATCAAATCACATAGTCAAAATATGTTTTATTCTATAACTTTTAATTTAATTAAACATAAAAGTTATGCTCCCTCCATTTTTAAAGTATTCAGTCCAAAAATGTAATAAATTTACTTGTGCATACATATTTATTTCGTTTTAATAAATAATTGAGGTGATGCAATACACTTATGTAGGCAGTCGCAGCAGTCGAAGCCGGGCGTAGCGCCTAGAGTTTCACGAACGCAAACCGCGCAACGAGTAGCTAAATGAGCCGTAGAGTAAGTGAGCCATCTAATATTTTGAAGAGGGTTCACTTACTCTACGGATCATTGTGCCAATGATCTGTAGTGTAAGTGAGCCATCTAATATTTTTCTGCAGGCTCGTATAGTATACGAGCCTATTCCTATAATTTATATTATTCATTATTTTGGCTCGTATACTATACGAGCCGATTCCTGAATTATCAAATAATTCGTAAGCTTGGCTCATAGTCACTATGATCTGTAGAGTAAGCGAACCTTCCTACTGTATTTTTAAATATAATACACGAGGCTCATAGGCACAATGATTTGTAGAGTAAGTGAACCCTCTTCATTTACTTTTTATTTTCGATAGGCTCGTATAGTATACGAGCCTGTAGTGCAAGTGAACCTTCAATATTATTTAAAAAGCTCGTATAGTCTATGATCTGTAGAGTAAGTGAGCTGTCCCCTCGTGCCCGAGGAGTACGGACAACAGTGAGTGAGAGTGACTGAGTACAGTACAGACAGAAGGAGTAGAACGAGAACGACAGAACGTCAAGTGGTTCGGGTGGATAAAATTAAGTTATTCACTATTACTTATTCTTTATTATTTTCATCTCATTATTATTTTGGTGTAAGTATATTTTTTATATTTGCCATTCCAAGTTTCTTCCAAGTAAGTAGTCAAACTCATAGAACTTTCACAAACTGATTGGTGATTATTGACTCCTACCAAGAACAACAGATAAAGATTTTATGAAATTCGGGAAATCGTTTCATTGCATTTTTTAAGGTAGGCCTAGGCCTAACTTAGGTTAAGAGTTAACAAAATTTTTGGGAAACTACCCCTTCGGGGTACAGTTTCTTAACTGGGCTACGCTAATATCGATTGAAACTATCGATTTGATTAGTAAACATTCATCCAATTTTTTCACCATCAGCAAGTTTGGTTAGGTTAGGTTATGCTAGTTTTATGTTATAATAGATATGTTTAAAAATATTGATTATTAATCAATATTTTCAATTCAATATGTTAGTTTCAATCAATATTAGCGTAGCCCAGTTAAGAAACTGTACCCGGCCTATTTTCATTCGGTTGTTTGCGCCAACAGATATGGAAGTATACCCGGCTGCATTTTAGTATCTGTCCTACACTCATTCGAATGAGTATATCCATTGATATATATTTATTATTTAATTCAATCTAGTTTGGTTAGTAAGGTTAACCTAACCTAACTAACTGAATGAAATTGTATTGATTTATTTCAACGGCAATCACCATTATACAATACATGAGAAATGACATAGGCTACATGCAACAAGATACAAAAAAAAAACAAAAAAAAAACAATATGGATGTGTAAGAAATGACATGATTAAGTATGAGATTATAACTTAATGATAGTGTGTGAGGGATAACTTAGATAATTTGCTTTTATTAATTTTTTTGCGTTACACTGACGGACGCCTGTTCGCTCCGGACGGTGATGACCACATTTTCACGGCGCGATCCCGTACCTGACTATTTTACCATAACAGCAAGCCCACCGATATCATAAAGTTACCAAATAGTGTCCTCGTAGTTAGTCCTAAGCCCTTATCAACACTCAGATAATCACCACTCACTAATTACTTTACCTAATGACTTAACAACACCTTTATCGAGCCTTGACATCCATAACGTTAGTAGAGCCACCTGGTCTACGAGACCGGCATGTACAAATCTTCACTTTTCCCGCTAAAAAAAACAAGGGAAATAATGGGAAAGCATATTTTTATATCTTATATATTTTAACAATAAAAAAGAAAGTGTTTTTTTCAATATATATGATGACAAAAAGTATTTATTACAGATAAATACAACTTATAACATAAAAAGTGTAATATAAAAAGTGTATAATAGGCCTATAAAAAGTGTATAATATAAAAAGTGTATAATATAAAAAGTGAAAAAATGTTTTAGAAATAAAATAAAAAAGTATGTTTCAATGAGCAATCTATATCTCAAAAAATGTTCACTTGGAGGTCAATGTTTCCAATCAGGGCTCAAACTATGTCTTTGGCACAGTCTACACACAACTTTCGGGTGCACTCCAAACATACTGGGATGTCACATTGAATGCACTTGTACTGTGTTTTGCGTTCTTTTGCTGATGGACATTTACCACAAGTTTTGCGCTTCTCCATTTTATGAGAAGGAATTGCATCACCTCGCATTTCTTGTAGAGTTTCACCTAAAATTAAAGTACAAATAAAATAATACCTTAATTGAGCGGAGCGAGCGAAGCGAGCGAAGCTCTTTGGGATCAACTTCAATGCAAACAATATAACACCATCACTCAATAACGGCTGAACACATTTCAGCCAAACTTAACAAGACTACTTAGACTAATAATGAGATGGTTTGTAAACAAACAAATTTCAATTAGATAATGCTAATGCAATTTAAAACGAACTTAAAATTTAAAATTTTTAACATTGGGCTTATGGGACTAAAGTAGTTATGACAGTTTTTTTGTTTACAAGAAAAATGTAAACAAGAGAATCATAAGGTATTTCTGAACTTTCTATACTTTTCTTTTAAACGATTTTAAACCATTCCTATGATTTTAATAAACAAGAAAATGCCGTTAAAACATTTTTTTAAGGCACGGAATTCACTGAAAATCGAGAAAATATACTGAACTACTTTCTCAATGCGCGGAGCATAAACAAGGAGCGGAGGGATACGGACCGGTTACTACTTTCTTGGGAACCTATTTGTGTTGCCAGCTGATTAGAAACAGCCAATGTTAGAAATCAGGATTTAATAAGCGATATATCGAACCGCATCAAAATCGGTATTTAATCCGATAATACCTCATAGGTTATATTATGTTTAATTACATCGACGGTACAGTAAGTTATTACACTTATTGATTTAGGCATGTGGGGAGGTAGGTCGGGGTTTATGAGTATTCGTGACTACATTAAGTGTTTTGAAGTAAGGTTAGATTAGGAAGGTATAGTGTAGGTTATAGGTAGGCGATCGGGTTGTTTATTTGTGTTGCACCATATAATTTTTTTAACTTTTGGAATGGAATAGTTGGTTAAGGTTAAACGGGGAAACGATTTCAAAAATGCTTGCATATGGTCTTAACTTAACAAACCATCTACAGTATTCTAGCTTTGACTTTATATAAAGTCAATGATTCTAGCAAATTATTACATACTGACCAAAAGAAAAGAGAACATTTGGATTTGTACCTTTGACCATAGCAAAACTAACATATAGCCTAATTATGGAATGTGAAAAGTTGTATATCATTATATACTATTCTGTAAAATATTTAGTAACGATTTAGTAACAATTATTAATAAATAATTGTTCGGCAAATCCTCATTTTAATGGCTCGGCTGAAAATGGAATCTGCATTTTGTGAAACAGTAATTTGGTAACAATTCAGTTATTTCAAATGTTGATAACAGTAGCCCATCCTATACAAATACTGTTATTTGATTGCCAAGCCACGGACTATACATACGTCCAGTTACAACCGTTGATAAGTAAACCTGGGCTTATAGAAGTACACTTTTAACCACGGTATGGATAATTGTCTAGGCCTGTCCAGAAGTAGGCTACTAATTTCTAATTATATTATCTACATTGTATATTTAAGGCATGTCTTCCCTACTTAGGGCCTATTATATTATTCTGTTTTCACTTAAATCAGCTGAATGCGATGTTTACTTATTACTTATGTTTAGGCCTACATTTCAGCCATTTTATGTTGCACGGTTGAATTTAAATGTCAAATTTCCCCTCCTGTTGTTATACTTTAATACTCGTTTTTTTATAGTTACTGTTTTTTTTTATACTTAAATACTTTAACCGATTGTAAGGGTGAAAAATGTAGCCCAATGTTTTTTTGTTGAAGGCTACAGTTGCATTTGAATGTTAAATTACCTTTCTCATTTTTATACTTTACTTTTTGGATGTTAATATCAGATTCCAACTACTGTAATATTTTCCTGGTCAAAACTACCATAATGCACTTCTCGAAGAGGTAAATTTGAGTTATTATAATTTTAATCTTTAAACCAGCATTAGTAAATAAATCTATTGACCTTTTTACATTTAGTTACTTATACAAATATCAAATCACGTTTGTTCCGCTCAACTGGCTTTCACCTCTCTGAAAGCAACCCTAGTTTATAAGTTTTACATTACATGCAAAAATATAACACTGGTGCGAATACGTGGAAATAAATAACAATGTAATATATGCAAATAAATGAAGGACAAAATAATATATGGCAATAAATATTCCATATTTACCTAGTATTCTCTGTATCTCTTGTTTGACGTCCCTTCGTAGTTGTGGTATCGTAAGTCTTCTCCTCATGTGGGGCTCCACTAATGTTTGGGCCAATTCCTTAGTGAACTGAAACCGTGTCATCATTTCAGAGCCCACGAAACACATGTAGGCCTATAGAATAAAAGAATTCACACTGGCGATGCTAAGGCCTGCCATACACGTTCCGTCCCGGCCTCAAGGCCTGGCCTTGAGGCCGGAACTGCACAGTTTGGCCGGAGTCGTGACCTCCCCACACACGCTCAGTCCGGAACTGCACAGTTTGGAGTTTTTGTAACTCTTTTCTAAAACGCACTTCTTAAATTATTTATTTTTTTAACCACAGTGTCCTTTGTGGCTTTAGGGTCCGCCTTCTTCACAAAATCCAATAATTGTTGATAGACTGCTTCCCTCATTTCCCTGTTATGGTACTCTTTATTTTTAATTTTCCAGATGCATTCGTGACCTCTGTATTTCTCAATGAATTCCAGTGTGAAGTCTCTTGACCAGGTAGACATGATTAATGTGGAGTACTAACGAAATCACTACACAACACTACAGCGCCAAAATCCAAAAACTATACCAACAAAACAACAAACAACACAGCTCCGATTATGTTTTCACCAGTAGTTGACTCACAATGAAGAAAGGATGCGAATGCGATAATGCTTAAAATTTATAGGGGGAGGGGGAAGCAGCACTGTCTTGGACTGCGGGATTCGCCATACACGTTCAAATTGGCCTCAAGGCCGGGCCTGGCCGGACGTGTTTCACATCCGGCCGTCCGGCCAACGATCTGCCTGAAGGAATCTACAGGACTGTACAGTCCTGGACTGAAGGAAAACCGGAACGTGTATGGTAGGCCTAAGAATCCGGATGAAAATCGCTAAGGGCCATCTTCGTGTGCGTCGACTTGAACTATAGATCGCACACTACATGTCCAATAAATCAACACCGGCTTTGGATTTGTTGTACATACACACAATTTCCGGTTTGTTGTTTTCAGGATTTATTTCCTAGTCGTGATGCATTGTTGAAAGCAGAACTACTGCTTTGTTTTTTTTCGGTACCATGGACACGGGTCATTGCAGCCAAAACAGCACGACATCACACATCGCTCTGGGCCAGGAAGGAATTCTTCAGGGATGATTTTTTTGTCCTTCTTCAGAGTTCCCACATGCCTCGCTGCCGTCTAAGTCTAACACAAAAGAGCTACCCGTACTCTGCTATAAAGATCTTTAACACCCTGCCCGAAAGAGTCAGGAACTTAGACCTGAAAGCTTTTAAAGTGACAGTGAGCAATTCTCTCCTGCAAAGGCCCCTCTATAGTGTGCAAGAGTTGGTAGAGGAACCTCTCATTCCGGGTTGAAATTTCCGCCACAGCCTTAGTATGTTAAATATATGTTCAATAACGGTTAGCCTTTATGTTGTAAATATATGTTTTTATTGTATAGTATTAAAAATTTCACGCTATCAATCCGTAACCACGGTCAAAGATTTAAGGTAAGATATCTACTAAACATTTCAACCCCTACAGAATATACACCCCATACAAAAAATATCCTCTAATCGGAAATGAAAAGTTCTAACACTTTTAAATAATAGGCCTACGGTTGAATGAATGAATGAAAAGTAAAGTAAAGTAAAAGTAATGACATATACGTTTATTTCCACATAATGTATACAGAAAGAAACATACTTTTTAATACAAAATATACTCACAACAAAATATAAACTAAGACTAAGAATAAAAAAGAACATTTTTCTGTATTAATTAATTTGATGATTTTATGAAATACAGCAGACATAGGCAGGTGCTGCCTGTTTGTCTGCTGGGTTGCTATTTAATAATTATCAGTAGATTACCAAATCATAGTGGAATTATTATACAAAAAAGATTAATAAATGGAATGACTGTTGCTTAAAAAGTTATTAGTTTAGGGGAAGAGATTTATAAATGTGTTAAAATAGAATAATAATTATGGATACTTACAAACTTTAAATTAATTTTATGATTAACTAGTGGACCCATGCTGCTTGGCAGTGTTAAAATAAATGTCATATCCGAGAAATAATCAAATTTATGATTTTTGATTGAGTAATACAGAATCTCGAACATAACTGATTCAAACGGTCAATAGCTCAAATTAAAGCCTATAATTTACTGATTATTTTGAGTCTAAAACGTTGTTTATGTTCTCTGTATTCATCTTAAGATATACGATTGTCATCCCAAAAATATGGTTCATGTTCTTTGTATTGACGAACGAAATACCGTAGTTATTTGTGTAACTAGTGGTGAAAGTGGCACTTTGCTGCACACAAGAGCAATGTTTACGCACGAGGCTCGTGCGGAATGATCTCGAGTGCAGCAAAGACCTTTTTCACTCGTGTTACACATTATATTTTTCCTACAGTCACTATAAAGCATATAAATAATTAGTCTTTCAAACACTATACAACACGTCTTTAGGTTCAACTGGCAACACAAATGGTGCCCTAGAGAAAGTAGTACCCGCGGTCCGTATCACTCCGCTATTTTTTCTCGGCAAGAAATGTGCTCCGCGTTTTGAGAATATAGTTCCGTATGTTTTTGTAATTTGAAATGGTTTCCGCACCTAAAAAAATGCTTTAAAGGTATTTACTTGTTTATTAAGATCGTAGGAATGTTTTAAACACGTTTAAAAGAAAAGTCCAGAAAGTTCAGAAATACCGAAACTATAAACACGAAATGACAGGTTAAATCGTAGTTCTAATAGTCAATCAGCTGCTCATAGTATTATTATCTTTAAGTGTTGCCAACCTATTTCCAAGCGTACACGGATTACGTGCATAATAGAACCATGCTGTTTTGTGTTGTTTCGTTGGAATCCTGATGTGCGGCAAAGTATAAACCGTGCGACAAAGTATAAACCGTACGGCAAAGTATAAATGTGCAGCAATTAGCAGCTTTATGTACTATAAACAGTACAAGGAAGCCAACTTTGTCGGGTGACTGTAGGAAAAGAAATGTTTTTACATGATTTTTTTCCGTTACACAAAAAGAGATCCCGGGTAATGGGCCTTACTGTTTTAAAATTCAGGGACACATAGATATATTTCTGACTTACTACCACGAAATGGGGAGTTGTCTACATATGAACAATTGTGCCTAAATTAGGGGCTATAGCCCCTACAGGCCACTAGTTAATTTTTAATCATAGAAAAACCTTATAAAAAATCATTTTTATGTTGGTTGTTCACCTTGTATTTGTTTGAAACTCGTCCGATTTGAATAACTAATAGCTTAAATGAAAGCCGGTATTTCACTGAAGGTTTTTAGACCAAAATATATAGGATTATATAATTATAACTGGTGAAATACATCTTAAACTGAAGAAAGAATTTGAAAATAATGGCTTTTGGTCGAGTAATACAGTAGATAAATATATGCAGATGATTGATGTATAATAGCGGTTTCCAGTCCGTTTGTTGTATGCCACTGGGGAAATAGTAGGGATGCTATCCTTGTTTTTACTTGGCAAATAAAAGCAGTAAGCGTTAAAGTCAATTTAGCTCATCAAGATGACTGTTTTAATTATTGACTACCTACAAAATAATGACTGTCCCTTGTATTTTCATATTTCAAAACACTGTATGTTAAGGAAAAGCAAAGTAAAATTGTTTATTTTGAAAAAGTTCAAGATTATGAAACTAGAAGAGCACAAGTTATTGTTCTCTTCTAGATTACGGCACGGAAAACAATATTCAGCTACAAAATACTTACAGGGACATTTATTGGGGGATCCAATAAATTACTAGAGATAAAAAAACCTGGAAATCCAAACTGACAAGCTGGTTTAAATGCGTTCGTCCTTTATCCGCCTTGGTGAATTTTTTGCATATAAATTTTAATTTTGTCTTTCATGAGCTGATCAGTGATACTTTGGTGGTAAGTTGTAATTAATTTTATTGTTATTTTTCATGGTACATGTTGATTTGTTACGTTATGCTATTTTATTCTGACAAATGTACATTGTACTCTTTCCTTTTGTACTTCATATTACTGTGTTCTTTGATGTTATCTATAGCAAAACAATGTTGACAAATGACAATAAGGCTAGGCGCACACGAGCGATTATTTTGAGGCGACTATTTCATCGGCCGATCTGTGCATCATGTATTTGAATGGAAGCGCACACACAGGCGATCGATAATTGCGCCGATTTTAAAATCTGAGTTTTGCCACAGATTCGTAGGCAAGGCGATTGTCGCCCGGAAATCTGTAACGTACAGGTTGTTATCAGTCCGTGCACACGGTCGACTAAAAAATCGGCCAGTCGCTTGTTGTTCTCCACAGGAGTCAGTGAACTTCAGTGTGAGTTGTGTTGTTTTCTTTGCTAAAGAAGGCCACAGCTGATATAATAAAAACTGAAACTTTCAACAGATATTCTATAGTAGTTAAAGAACTTTTTACTGTCATCACGTAAAAGTATAGTTTATAAAACTGTCGATTTAAAAGTCTCTAACTTACTATCGGATGAACCCATTATTTAAGTTGTCTTCTTTTTTTCTTTGATCTAATTAGAAGAGCACAAACTCAGGTTAATTCAACAAAGTCCATTTTAGGATAGCTTAAACGCACTCAAAAAAATCCATTCTTGACTAAAAAATCGCCAAGTGTGCGCCTAGATATAAATCAAGGGCGATTTATTTTTGGCCGATTTTTTAATCGGCCGATCGAAAAATCAACCGTGTGAGCCAGGCCTAAGCAATTCTAATCTCTCTTTACTACTGTATTGTAACATTTAAATAATGTGTTTACAGTTTTGAAGACAGTAGCAACTATAGAGCACACACCAAAATGGCTCACTACAAGGGTGCTGCCAGCGAAGCTGGTAGGGCTATGCATCTGATGAAAAAACGAGAAAAGGCCCAGCAGGAAATAGAGTTTAAAAAGAAGAAAATTGAAGAGGATTTAAAAATATCAAATATAGAAAATAAATTTGCAGCTCATTATGACGCAGTTGAACAACAGCTTAAAGTAAGCTAAATCATTTTTTAAGTAATTTTAAAATTCTTTTTTATAAAACAATACTTGGGTAGGTAAATTTGAGTGGTAGTTAAACGTGACATTGATAACTAAGCCTTGCACTACCTATATAATATATATTACCAATCAGGTGATGTTGTTGGAACTTAATAACCAACCTTTCATCTATAATTGCCTTCTTTGTCTGTTTCTAAATAATAATAAGCTACAAAATTATTTTTTAAACCAACAGTCTCCACCCTTCATGAACTACATCATAAGGGGGGGGGGACACAAGGAGTAAGTGGAAAATCTTAAATGTAAGCATAGGTTAAATTGGCATCAAATTAAAGGTATTAATTTTTAGCAGGAAATTATGGCAAATCTGACATAAAAAGGGACTCTATCCAAAATGGTGATGTTATAAAGTTTCTAATAAGTTATACCAATAAAAAAACTGCTGGAATAGTAAATAAATAGACAGTACTGCAAAATTTGACAACGGTGAGATTTTTGGGATAGTGTAAATGCTCTTGAAAACAATTTATCCTTTACATCCCTTTCACTGAATAGCAATTCAGTGAAAATTGATTTTGACATCCCAGGTGACTTTTCGACTCTAATGTGATTTACTCATTATTTGTTATCTTAGGCCTATATATTGAGGGTAAAATTCCTTCAAAAAGATAGTTTCATCACCGCCAAACTGGATATAGTCAACCTTTTGAAGTCAGGTTGCGTCATCTTTTTATACTAATTAAAACCTTTATTGTGATGTACATCCAAGATTTTCCTCTTACTTCATGTGGGCCATCCCCTTTATGAGACTAAATAAATGGTATCAGAAATCAGACACATACTTTCTACTAAGTCAAATCTTACCTTATCATGGGTGGTGGGAATATAGTCAATGATAATAATTTTTATCCAGGGAAAATCACTGAAGTTGCAATAAATTTTGAACTATAAATTTTACAGCAATGGGAGTTATACCGTTTTTGTCTAGAGTTAAAATGGCTATAATATACAAAATTTAAACAAAATAGTTTGGTTCGTATTTTTGAAAATCTGTTTAATTGTTATTTTTACTAATAGGTTTTTATGGGAAAACCACCATGAAAAATCAAAATTAATAAAAATAAAAACAACACATTGATATACCAGAGATTAGTATATCCACATTCACATACCAAATTTTATCAAAATCTCAGTCTCTTCAGAAGTTAAACCTCAGTAGAAGAATCCTGAGCTTCCTGCAGCTGCTCTACATACTTTAACGCTATTTCTATAACTTTGTGTCCTACACAGTGTGAAACTTTCTGTGCACTTTCCTCCAACACCATAATATGGTGTTGGATATTATCCTCTTCCGTCATCCTCTCTTGTGCCGTTTGCCATGTTCACTATTTCTTCATCTGTCACTTCATATTGTTCATCTTGGGCCTATATGATCAACATTGGGTAAAAAACATATGTTATTTAAATGGGGAATAAATATGTCTTGTTAATGGAAATATTTTAGTGAAAATCTAATCATACAAATTGAAATTTGCCTACTGTACAGGTTTGCTGCAATATTTCAAGGATATTTAAGGTAGCTACTATCATTTGGTTAGGTCTAGATGTTGTTTGTCCTAAATGTACATCAGAGAGTAACTAATTCAATAAATAGTGGCTTATAGATAAATAACTTCTTGATCAGCATCGTACGTGTTATTAAATTTACGGAAAGTAAATAAAGAAACGTCTTATAACACTTAAAACATATATTTACGCTTATACTGTTACTCACAAGACAGTAAATATACAAAAAAGGATGTAAGTGGTGATCGATTTCGATTGGAAACTCCAATCATCATCAGACCCAATAGGCGAATGACAAGAATCTATGAGAGCACATTCTTGTCATTCGCCTATTGGGTCTGATGAGGATTGGAGTGTCCAATCGAAATCGATCACCACTTACCACCTTTTTTGTATATTTACTGTCTTGTGAGTAACAGTATAAGCGTAAATATATGTTTTAAGTGTTATAAGACGTTTCTTTATTTACAAGTCAATTAAATCACTATCTCTACACAGTAAAAAACATTAAACAGAAGGATGTTATTTTTACATTGGCTGCAGAATAGGGTTTAATATATGAAATGTTGAAGGTCAATTTACAACAACAGTTAACGTTGGGAATGCTGGGAACAAGTAGATGGTCATGATGAAAGGGACTGGGACTGGGAACTTGATAGGGCATGACCAATATATAGATATATAGATATATTGATAGGGCGTGGTATGTGTGACCAATGGTTAAATATGTTTTTTTTTTGTTACAGAGTTCCACCATTGGTTTGGTAACATTAGACGAAATGAAAGCCAAACAAGAAAACATAGTGAAAGAGCGAGAACGCAAACTAGCACAAAAACAACTAGAGAAAGAAAGAGAGCAACAAAGACAGCTTGAAGCAAAACAAGCTGAAAAGAATAGACAGAAAAGACAGGTCAGTGTTCAATGTTCATAGAGGTAAACAAGTGACATTGTGAGTTCACTTGCTTGGGCACTTGGAACCACAGATAAAGAGCACGAATTAAAAAATAATTGGATCCGCCCTGCATACGCTTACATCCCTAATACTTCTAATTAAAATGGGGATAACTATTTTTTTTCAGCCACCTATGGGCAAGAGATGGTCATTAAATGAGTGGAATCATCCCATAACTCCAAGTAAATTTATTTCCAAGTGCTTTTTAACCCGAGTGCAGTAGAACCCCGGTTAACCTAAATAATGGGAGGAGAGCCGTTTTGGATAACCAATTTTTAGGTTAACCCATCATATGCTAAAAATAGCCAATGTATCACCACAGGGTGTAGGAAAAATGAATTTAAGAGAATGTCTATATAATTCAGTGTTTTATTTCAGCTGCAAAAATGTCACAATGTAATATTAAATACAGGGTGATTCAAAAAGGACTTTACAACTTTGAAAATTCATATAAATCTTAATAAACAAGGTACAGAGGTGGTTGTGGTGTTGTTTTAAAGGAAAACACTTCAAGTTTTTTTACCTTAAACTAAAGATGTTCTATATGACTTCCGTTGGATTTGGGGAAAATAATTATTTAGGTATGAAAAAATAGTGAAAACCGTAAAAGATTTTTGAGAAATTTACAAAATTTTGAAAGTAGGGCGTTTTTTGACGGTGAAGGAGGGCGATTTTCGAAAAACGCATACTAGTGTCTTGTAGGAAATTTAATTGCGAACCTACGTTTTTTCCTCAAATCTTTTCTAGCTCTTACCGTTTTCGACCTATAGCCGTTTGAAAAAAACGTGTTTTGTCGTTTTCAGATGTCCGCCATTTTGGATTTTTGGGGGGTTGAAAATTTGAAAATGCGACTTTTTGGAATGTTATGGGTGGTTTGGAACCAAGAAATACAAGTGTGCGAAATTTAAACTCCCTAGCACATCTAGGAGTGGGTGTATCGCGCACTCCTTCACCGTCAAAAAACGCCCTACTTTCAAAATTTTGTAAATGTCTCTCAAATTTTTAACGGTTTTCACTATTTTTTAATACCTAAATAATTATTTTCCCCAAATCCAACGGAAGTCGCATAGAACATCTTTAGTTTAAGGTAAAAAAACTTGAAGTGTTTTCCTTTAAAACAACACCAAAACCAGCTCTGTACCTTGTTTAATAAGATTTATATAAATTTTCAAAGTTGTTAAGTCCTTTTTGAATCACCCTGTAGAAATAAACCAGACAACTTAAGTTATTAAAGCATTTACAGCCCTATATTATTTTATATATCCAATTCGGTAAACCCGGGTTTCGATTAACCCGAATTCGGTTAACAGGGGTTCTACTGTAAATATAAGCCCAAGTGATCATAACTCCAAGATATTTGTATACAACGTCTCACAACCCCAAGTCATCGAAAACCCAATGAAAATGTGATCATCAAACAATATACCCAGACCAGAATGTTCCCTAGCCAGCTTTGATTTATGCTAATTGGAAGTAACTAAATTATGTAATTTATCCTTTTATACACTAACTACAAAATGCTAAACTGATTATTAATACTGCTGGTAGAACCAAAATAACTGGTACCGGTACTTAAACTTCTAGAATGGAAAAATCTAAATTTTTGGTGAAAAATTGTGATAATCAATCTGGTGAAACAAGCTAATTTCATGTCCTACATGGCAAAAGGCTCCAAACCGTTCAATTTGTGATTCCTACATTTCAAAATATCGAGCGACCCTTGAGAGGTTCCCCCCTTGGTTAATTTACTTAGCCAGACATTGATTAAACTCATACTAGGCACTACTTATCAGTAACAAATGATGAATTCATCATGATGGAAAGATGGGTGATCCCTCGCCGGAGGTTGCAGTTGAAGAGAGCGAGAGTTGGGAAAAAGGAGTCAGGGGAGCGTTCTGTCACTCACGGCAGATGACGAGCTTGTCATGAAGCCCGGTCGTGCAAAGCGCTGCACACTTTATAAAATTTGTGTGCCGCTATGCGTCACAACCACCCCCTTTCCTTTAAAGAAAACCCAAGAAATAAACAGTTTTGCGGAAGGTTGGTGAAGGATGTGATTTGGTGTGAGTGTTTTTTTGTTTTGGTGGGAAGAATTTTTGCTAGATTTGCCTCTAAATGTGGAAGGCTGAAGGTTCTGACCAGCCCGGTTTGGAATTGGCACCTCTGACAACTGGATTTTCTTGAACCAACCACGGCAGAGAGCGGGATCCACCCTGCTAAAAGAGGAAGGCGTTGTGAGGACGACAATTAGTTTCCCTAACCTAATAAATTGAATTGTTGCAATTTTTGTTAAAAATTTGAGAAAAAAAGGACGGTCAACTGCACGCTAGGGGTGGGCGAGTACTCGACTGTCGAGTAATTACTCGAGTAGTTGGCAATACTCGACAGTCGAGTCGAGTAGTTAAAAGATACTCGTGACTCGAGTCGAGTAGTAGACTTTAAGCCGATTTCGTTATTTTCATTGATATTTGACAAATAAATAGTAAGAAAGGAAAATGTTTGAGTTTTATTTAATCTCTTAACCCCTTTAAATATTGACATACTAGGCCTACTAATAATCGGCAACCTAGACATCGCTTGCGTCATCCATTTCACTGACAGCGACAGCGCCGACAGCTGAGCTGAGCTGACACTGGGTCACTGGGTGATTGGCAGTGGTGTAGGTGTGCGAGTGCGATGCATCGAATCAAAATCAGCATGCATCAAAATCCCGAAGCATCGATTACGTCACGATACAGCTCTACTAGTAAAAAGGGATGATTCGATTATCGTCATCGATACCACCGATACTTGGACATTTATTCTGTCTTAAATCAGATGATGTAATATTTATTATTATTATTGTTTGTTGTGTTTATGTTAGTTTTGGAGTTTTCATGGTGAGTTCTATTAAAAACCAGTGTTCAGTACCAATAAATAAAATATAATTTATGAAGCTTTATCATTGGTGGCAGCGGTAAAGGTAATATACAAACTTAAATAGAATAATGAACCTTTTAAAACCTCCGTCAGCTATTGATTTAAATAGCAACACATTAAATGAATGGACTAAGTTCAAGCAAAAATTTCTGTTGTACCTGGAAGCAACAGAAAAATCTAAAAAGTCGGGGAAAATCAAAGTTGCTTTACTGCTATGTTTAATGGGGGATGGTTGCCTAGACATTTTCAACACCTTTGAATTGGATGATGGGGAAAAAGACAATTTAGACACTGTAATTAAATGTTTTGACGAATACTTTGAGCCTAAAGTAAACACTGTTATTAATAGGTATACTTTCATTAACCTCAGGCAAAAGTCCGACGAATCAGTTCAGTCATTTGTAACTAGTCTAAAAAATCAGGCAAAAAAAATGTCAGTTCGAGGATCAGGAAGAAAGCCTTGTAAGAGATCTATTGATAATAGGGACTAAAGATGAAGCGTGTAAAGAAAGGTTGTTGATGACGAGTGATTTGAAACTTGATAAAGCAATTCACTACTGCACGGCTAGGGAGGAGAGTAAAAAACAAGTGCAACTAATGAAACTTGATTCACAACTTGACGAAACAACTAATGTAGGATCTAAAATTCATAACATTACTTTACCAAATTCGAGTAACATTACAAATAAAAGACAAGTTAAAGTCTGCTCTAAATGTTTAAAAACTCACAATTACAGAAATTGTCCTGCTTGGGGAAAGAAATGTATAAAATGCAAGAAATTTAATCATTTTGCAAACGCCTGTAAGGCCCAAAACATTCATAACATTGAATCTAATGAGGACATTGAACCTAATGAAGTGGGAATTAGTGGCGAGAGTCAGGACTTAAGTATTGAAACTATTGTTGTCAACACTGTAGACTCAAAACATAGTTGGTGTCAGAATATTACCGTAAGTGGGGTTGACATATCTTTTAAGCTCGATACTGGCGCCGACGTCAATGTTATTCCTTACAAGCTTTATCAACAATTAGCTCCTGACGCTAACATGACGACTCCAGGTAAACGCCTCAAGTCTTATAGTGGGCATGACATCAAATTTGTAGGTACTTGCCTTCTAAATTGTACACTGGGGGGTTCTAAAAGAATTTTTTTAGCAGAATTCTACATTGTGAATGAAGATGCCTGTCCCATATTAGGGCTTAAAACATGCCAAGAACTGAATCTCATTTCTAGAGTAAATGAAATAACTAAACCAAGTGAAAGTGTGTACGATAGATTTTATGATGTATTTGGTGATGAGCTAGGAAAATTACCATTCGTTTATGATATAAAACTTGAAGATACCGCAGTTCCTAAAGTTATTCCTGCCAGAGCTATCCCTAAAGCTTTAAATGATACAGTTAGGGAAGAGATAAATAAAATGGTCAAAGACGGTATTTTAAGAGAGGTAAGTGAACCTACTGATTGGGTACATCCGATTGTAATAGCAAAGAAGCCAAATGGTAAAGTTAGAATTTGTATTGATCCAAGAACTCTTAATAAGTATATTAAAAGGGAACACTACAAAATGGCGACGCTCCAAGAAATTTTCTCACAGTTGGATGGTGCAAGATACTTCAGTGTACTGGATGCTTCTTCAGCATTTCTACAGATACCGTTATCAGAGAATAGTTCTCGGTTATGCACCATTGCTACTCCTTTTGGCCGATTTAGTTATTGTAGACTACCTTTCGGATTGAATAGTTCCCCAGAGATTTTCCAAAAAGCAATGGACCATGTAACCTGTGGATTGGAGGGAGTGAGTGCATACATAGATGACGTCCTAGTGTTTGGTAACTCAAAAGAAGAACATGATGAAAGACTGGCTGCTTTCTTAGAAAAGGCAACATATTTTGGACTTAAGCTGTCTAAAGAAAAAAGCCAGATTGGCCGTGAAAGTGTCCAATATCTAAGTCACAAACTTACTCCACAAGGTATTACAATAACCGAATGCAAACTGAAGGCTATTCAGGACTACCCGAGCCCTAGGGATAAAAA